ACGTTTGCTGGCTTTTTTTCTAACGCTTCAAACTTTGTATTCTATGTAATGTAATATTCAGTACACATAATTATGGGGCCTTTATTTGCTCTTATCTCTGTTTTTCTCTTGCCCGCCAGTTAACTGCTATGAAAAGGTTCGCAATGAGACAGAAGCACTCAAGTCTTCCATGGCTGTCGGACAGCCCCAGAGTCCACTAGAGGAACCCAATACAGAAAAACTTTCACCCCCTGATCCTCAGAAATCTCCCGTTCATGCGGTCCAGGAAAATCCGCTCTTTGGTCAGCTGCCTAGCGACCGAGCCGTTCGGTTTGCGTATGCCAATGATCCGTCCCCGATCGACTCTAAAGCTTCCAAAACTTCAAACTTTCAAGTTAAGCATCCCCGGCCCGAATGGTTTCCGATTGACCTTGTCGAAAGAAAGAGATGATCACTTGGTTTATGTCTTCATTTAATTTGATGAAATACAAAGTTAAGGATAGCTGGTGGCTACCTGGGAACAAAGAATTCGATCCATGTTACAATTATGCCTTGCCATTTTATCTTATAGCTTTTTCCAACCCGTTTTTCTACTTTTTATGTTTCTGTTAATGTATATGCCAATTTTTTCTTATTCTGACTAAAAATATTCATACCTACAAATTATCTTCAGGCATTTATCCATTTTGTAAAGACGGCGGACTTGTATTCAGGCAGCCTGACTCAAGCCCAAAATATTATTGGAGGGCTTATTCTTCTCTGTAGAAGCAAATTTGTTATATATTCTTCAGCACACAAAAAATGGTAAGATATTATAGATACGAAAAGAACCTGGGCTTCGATGGATCTCCTGAGATAACATTGTTGGGGGACTTTAATTTCGTATGAAAATGCATGAATAAGAGCTTCGTTGGTCTATCCTACCATAAGAGGACCGATGAATCCCGTTGTACTGCAGCCGTTTGGCTTTTATACGACGTTTAGGTTGATGCAGTCCACGAGACCTCTCTCGTTTCGGGTGAAAATGGGCTGAGCTTTTGGACATCATCCGAGCTGGGTCTCATTCTTATAAAAGTCTCACGCTAACACTAATTCAAGAAGACTATCCGACTTTATCTTGCCTATTATATAGACTAAATTAAAAATGAGATGTATTCACCCTATTTCGTGTAAGGTGATGAAGGACTGGTAGTA